AAAGATGAGAAGTGCAGGGCAAAAACCAAACATCTATTATACCATGGAGAGAAAGAAGTGCCAGAATTAAAAGAGAGTTACAGCTTCACATTGACATAGGACTGTCAACTATTTTAGTAGCTACTTTCCAATAAGCAAGAGAGATTCTTATGCACCCTTGCCCGGGTTGAGTGTCTAAGAGCCTTGAGTCAAGTAGAACCTAGTTAAGCCATGAGTATCCAGGAATATCTGATCTGATAGTGAATCTGATAAATGCCTTGTTCTCTGTGCTATTAGGACAGCCCACCAGAAATGATGGAGGTCATCTGTAATGCCTTATTGGTGAGGACAGTCTGAAAGAACTACCACAAGGTCACAGCAGACTCAAGGTTGAGATGTAAAATTTCTGACATTTGAAAGAATGAGAAACTCCTTTTTTCTGTGTGTTTCTTTGGGAAAAAAAGGGACATTCAAGGACAAACTGAAATGCATGCAATACTTATTACTCTAACATCCTATATAGATAGAAATCAATAGATGCTTCTGTCAAAATTTACTTGGTAATACATGAACACTTTTCTTAACCATTTTTTGTATCATTTAAATATTTCATAAGCCAGTGTTTCCCATTTATTCGAAAAAGAAGAAAAAAGGCTTCAAAAGAAAACAAAAAAGAGAATAATAAATAAAAGGGCTGTTTTCCACAAATTTTCCATTTTTCCCCATGTCTTTGCATCTCTACCCCAGAGGACATCATTTTCCACTTAGTCCTAGTAGATGTTCAAACCTGAGCAATTAGTTCTATGGTCATCAAACTCATAGTTGCTTGACCAACCACCTTTTTCTGACTAATCTCATAATTCCCTTTCCTACTTATTCTAGCCCTGCTAGCCACCAAAGAGAGAAAGAGAGAGAGACACTTTTCAAATGGAAGGGGATACAATTGCTTTAAACTTTAAATATATGTTTTTTTCTGATGACCAGAAATTTCTGGACTCCAAAAGGGAAAAAGGAAAAACCACACATGCTCAGACTTTCAAATTATGCCAAGATAAATATTTATTTAAACACAGCAGGACTTACAGATCACAAAAGAGAATGATATACAGGAGCTCAAAGGGAGTCATCAGAATCAAAGCATGCAGGTCAGTCTTTGCAGAAGAGAGATATCAAAGCAGATTCGGAAAGGCACATTCACACAGGAAAATGTCAAGTTGAAATAAAGGCATCAGAGTGGAGGAAAAGAGACAGTTGAAAGGAAGATCTCTACCCCGATTCTGATTCGCAAAGTATTTTCCGATGTAAAAGTTCTGCCAGTTTGCAAATTCAGCAAATTGGGTGATCTTCCAACTGTTAATCGCACTGCAACATTTCAAAAAGGTTCAATGAAGGCAAATCAGGGGAATGGGAAGAGACCCCAAGGCCAGACAATTCAATCAGACAGAACTGAGAAAAGGGTTAAAATTTAGCAGAAAAGCAGCAACAGGTTGAAATTAACAAGCAGAGATGCATAGAAGGTTAAACATTTGTCAGATGTTAACTCCACAATCAAGCCAGAGCATTTCATATTGGCTACCTTCTATTCACAGAATTAAAGAACAAAGTTTAAAGAGACAGTATCCCCTTGAAAGAACTAGAAAAAGTCTCTCACCTCATTCCTGCTGTGTTAACAGCACTTAACTGAAGAGTAATTGATTTAAACATCCCTTTTCCCCTCACCATCCAAACATTAATTCCTTCCTTCTTGTCCTTGATAATAACTCAGTTTTGCTCGCATAAACTCTCAGCATGGAAAGATTAAAAGCTAGTTTTGTTTGCAATCCTAATACTGGAATAACCAGATGAAAGAAGTCCTATATGCCAATGTGAATGTAACTTTAGGAACTCCTCTCTGAAACCAACAGAAAAGCACCCCCAGGGAATGGAAAAAGGAAATACTGTCCCTTTCTGACAATTCAGTTTACAGACCAAGTAGAAACAAGCAAAGAAAAAAGAAATCTACTTTCAATTAAAGTGATAGAGATTTATGGAACATTACCAATTCAGAACTTGAAAAGTTTTTTTTTCTCTCTCTCTATATATATATTACACCTTAGGGCTGTGAACATATTTCAGAAAAGGTGCTTTGCAGTACCTGTCTGCAACTCTCGAAAGCAGCTGTGAGATTCTGGGAAAAGATGTGGCTGCTTTAAAGGGTGGAGATAGGTGCTACTTCCACAGTCCTGTATGATTCCTCTTTGGAATCAAATCTGGACCACTCCATATCTCTAATATATATACAGAGAGAAAGAGAAGCAACAGGACAGAAAAATAGTTGATTTAACAAATAACAGTAGACAGCAAGTTCAAAGTAAGTTTAGACAAGAAGGAATTTTGGAGCCAGAGCAAATGAAATTACTTCCTTGTCATTTAACTGTAAGGATCTAAGGGATCAAAATGTAGCTGAGGACTCACCGTTCCCTTTCTACTTTGTGTAAAATTTTCTTACCCTTAACTACATTTTATCATTAAGTCTGCAGCAAAAGGAACCATGGAAAATGCTACCTAAGCTTGATTCCTAGCCAATAACTGAAATACTTAGCAGTTAATCTTGGTTGTCATTAACCATTTCTTTGGTACAGCTGTAATGGCAAGCTGTGGGTATGGATTCTGGAATTCTGACTGAAAGAAGAGAGACACCCACTTTTGATCCCTTAATCATGGTTGGGAGATGGAAATATTAATCCTGAACAGGTCCTTGGCATCAGAAACTAGATGGATACTTTTTTTGGAAAAGAAGGAATGGGGAACTCATTCTCTGTAAAGTTTAGCATCAAAACACTGTATTGACTTAACTGATCTCAGGATCCAGAATGCATCTCTCCATGCAAACTGAATGGCAATCATCAATCCTTGAATTGCTATGGACAACTAATTCATCAAACTACCACCAAGAAAGTTTAGAAAAATAGTAGGAAAAAAGTGCTTTTGAAAAACCCAAAATAAAAAAAAACTTTCAAGAACAAGCATGGTCGGTACCAGGCTACAACCAACCAGACTGGACAACCAACCAGACCAGATCAAACATTTTAACATACAAAAAATTTTTAATTTTTCACAAAGCAAAATTATTCCTGATATTTCACACACCCTGTTAGAGAAATTCCCCTTTTCTAAAGCCACCAAAGGGTTTGTTTCTACATTCCCTACTTAAAAATAGAATGTAAGATTACAGTACAATTACCTTTTTTTTTCTTTACTTAAGACCTGGGGTGGGATGGAGGAGAAAGAGAAAGAAATAGCAATTGATGTAGAAGTACATGGTTTGGGAGCAACTGTTTCCTTGCCACCTATACCAATGCTGATTAACCCATTTTTGTTTTGGAATATTGTGATTTTTCTCTGTGTTTTTAAAGGCCACAAAATTCAGTGATCCCCCCACTCTATAGAAACTGTACAACAAAAAAAAATAACTACCTCACAAGGCAATTAGTTTAATGATTTACAACTAAACTGGAGATAACCAATTCATTTACAGTATCATTAATTTCCTGAAGAAAATTAAAAGGAGAAAACTAACAAAAAGGAATTCAGTACAAGAATTCCTTGCCTTTTATTTCATTCAGGACAATTAACAGAGAGATTAGTGTCTGTTGCCTTTCAGTGTAGTTCCAATCAATGCAAAGACCATATGGGCAGGCACCAATCTTATATGTCCTTCTCACCCATCATAATTTAATACACATGAGAAAACCCACGCAGTTGGCCACAGCTTTCTATTCCTGGTATTCAAGAAGACAATGACATTCTGTGGCACCTTTCTATGGAAGAATGGCTTCCAACTTACTAGCAGCTGATGCAAATGGATCAATATTCACTAGAATAGCGATCTCAATGTTATATTTTCTCATATCGAGGTGTGTTATTTGCATATTGAGGCAGGTAGGCCATCGATGAATATTTCAATGCCAGTATTGGGAATCTACTTTGCAGGCTGCATACCAGAGTGAAAAAATGCACTAATAGCACCATTCCGGGTTTACAAAGGAGTCACGTGTGTCTCTGTGTGAACCTGGAATGCAAGACAGCCATCCATCCACAGTGGGGGGAAAAAAATCACAATTTCTAGCATTAAACACAGCTATGGCCTGAACTTCTAGTATTATTGCTAATTTCTTCCGGAATACAAAGGGATGAATCTAATGATCTGTGCAAATGTGATATAGCAGCTATATTAGTCAAAGGATATTGTGGTGCAGAAATTGCATGAGGCAGAATTTCAAGTTAGTACTGGCTGTATTTTCAACTGTGGCCAAATTAACAGGGACTGACCCCATAAGCACACATTACTTTAACCTGGTTAGACAGTACTTTAATACCTATCACTTGATTTAATACTGATTTGAAACCATAACTTAAACTGGCCTTTAAAGTCCCAGTTACGCTGACATTCTGATTGATTTAACAACTGGGGTTGAGGTACCATTTCATTGGGATTAAGGAAAAAGGAGTTGGAGGCTGTTCTCATAGCTTAGAGAAACATACCCCTACCAGCTCTTGCCTATGTCCCTAGGAGCTTGAGCTGGGTAATTTCTTTCCAACACTGGGATTTTACAAATCTTTGCAGATGCAGGAAAATTCAAAGGACAGACTTGTGCCTTGGAAAAAGGGAATGCCCACACAATGGGATCAGACCCCTTTCAAATCAGTTAGCTAAGCCCAAAGCAGCCTCTTACTGGTTCTAGTCTGTCTTACACTGTTAGTGACACAACAGAAGAGTATTTTGCCTAAAACTGGGGTTGCTAAGAGGACATACTGTGCAAGACAGGATCTACCTCAAAAACCAGCCAATCTAAAAATTACATAGAAGAACACCAATTAATACTGCTCGATTAGGAGATTAGAAGCTAGCCAAAAATACAGATTCAGAAGGCTTTTCCTACTAGAGGATCAGCACAGAATACTGAAATTCAGCTCATGATACAACACTTTGGGACTCTCCCATAGCTTTTGTTACCAGAGCAATCTAACTAGTTCCTCACCTGCTGCTGGTAGATGTTGACCACTAACCGTTGGCAAATCCAGAGAGCTATCAGACAGGACATGCTTAAGGTCTCCTCCCACATCTGCCAGTTTCATGTCAAACTGGACAGAGAGGGCATCTTCAGAATCCTCCTTGCCCACGCTGCTGCCTCCAATGGATGGCAGGTCAAGAGACTTGACAGAAGCCGAATCCTCCTTGGCGTGCTTGAAAGCAGCCAGTTTGTCGACAAGGGATTTTTCTGAGCTGGAGGAAAACTTGCTTGAGTGGAAATCAGCAAAGTCGTCTTCACTCTTAACTGATGAAGGGGTATGGTCTTTTAGTTCTTCAAATCCCAACCCGGGGCTGTCCAGAGACAGCTGCTTGAAGATGTCATATTTGTTGGAAGCAGCAACTGGACTCTGCCCATTCTTCACGGCACTGACTAAGGAGCCAGCTGAGGGAATGGAGTTGGAATCTTGTTTGAGGGCACTGTATTTATCATCCAGCTGCTTCTCCGGAGAGACAGCGTTGTTATTGAAAGCCATGAAGTCTGCAAATTCATCCTGAGTGGCAGCCGAAGTACAACTTGACAACCCTCCAAAAAGGTTGAAGTCGGCAAAGTCGCTAGCCAGGACTGAACTGTTGCCTGGCATTGGCAGAGTGGCGGTGGCAGATATTGTGTGTGGTGGTGCAGCAAAAGGAGCTGGTTTGGGGGAACTGTACACAGCTGGAAAGAGAGTAGATTGGCTCTCTCCAGTAGAGGCTGAGGAAAACAGATCCAGGTCTGCCAAATTCAGAGAAGGCTTTGCTTGGGATTGTTGTTTTGACGGTATAGGAAGAGAAGGAAAAGATGGGGGAAATGGTTTGTCCTTTGTTGGTGGGTCTAGTGGAGAGATGCTGTCCGCAGTTTTGAAATCAGTGAAGCCATCGTCTGTTCCTGGGGACCTGAAATCTGCAAAGCTGTCTCCTGAAAACAGAACAGACAGCAACGTCAGTAGTATTTCTGAACATTTTAACAGTCTCAACCAAGCAACATATCCGTTAATTCACACATGTTTAAAATGGCTCGGGGTGGGGGTGGGGGGGGCTAATCTATTTTGTCTAGTTTCCATGTTACTTCTTCACAAGGATTCAAGGTAAATAATCTTTTAATATTTAAAAAAAGTGTAACAAAAAGGCAGTAAGTACAAACTAAGTAAGTTAAGGATTTGAATATTCTACAGATTCCAAAGGAAAATATATAAAACATGTACTTAGGCACCCTCCCCTCTTTCTGGTAGCCAGCCAGAGCGCTTAACATTAAGTTATTGCAGTCCATTGTGGACCTATGGGCTGCAATAAGCTATGATTGGACCTTCTGATTTCTTTTTTTTAAAACTTATTTGTGGAATATATAGACCGCCCTGATCTTCTGTCATGATTCTGGGCAGCTGACAGAATACAACAATAAAGAATAAAAGATGAAAAACAAAGAATTACACTGCCAGAAGGAGAATGTCTTGGAAAACCCAAGGACCCTTCAGAAGACCAAAACATCACACACTCTAATGGTTTGTTTGAACAGGATCACAGTGGGAGCCATATGGATCTCGGGGGGATGGTGTTGCAGAGGGCAGGGGCCATGACAGATGAAGCCCACTTCCTTGTTCTCACCAGGTGATATCGTTCAAGCAGTGGGACCTGGAACATGCCAAATGTGTGGCATGGGCAAAAACTATGGGGGACAAGTGTTCCCTCAAATAACCAGGCCCTCTGCCACACAGGGCTTTTTGTGTGATAACTAGCACCTTCAATGCCACTCAGGAGCCTACTGGCATTCAGCACAGTTCACAAAGCAGAGGTGTTACATGCCCATGACTGCCTGTGCCACTGCTTTGGGTGATGGTGACTTTTTCCAGAATGCTACTAGGTGTGTCTGTTTCCCATTCCCACAAAACTACATTTTTGACCCAAGGGGTTTCTGAGGGACATAAGAATCTGGGAGGCCTTGTGAAGTCCTAGGGGTGCAGGCTGAAAGGAATGAGTGCATTATTTGGTACTGGAATATTCTTGAATTTCTAATAGCGATATAAAGGGTGGTGTTATCAGTATAATTGCTTCCTTTTTTTAAAAAACTACAATAGCTCCACAGCTTCCAAAAGCCTGTATTGTGATGGACCTTTTAACTGAAATCTTCATCTGATACCATTCCTTGGGATCCCACCTTCACAGGCAGGGAGATAGCATATACTGGACCTTTCCCACAATGGCATGCTGGCTCCCAAGTTTTCCTTCTAGGTAAATTCACCTGGCATCACCAATATTACCTTTTACATACTAAATCAACTGGTTTCCTTAAAGCGTTTAACAATGAAGAGCACCCATCCATAACTACTTTTTAATCACTGTACTACCTTTTATACTGTTAGTAGCTTGCATACATGGTGCCTCCCCTCTTCTGGAATATCATATACTCCCCCCCACCCACACAAATGGGAAGAGCAGAGCTGAAACCCGGTTCCTCTGGAGGACCTTTGGGGGATGAGGTTTATTTTTAATTTATCTGGAAATGTGGTATCTATGCAATACTGTGTGCAGAGGTTACTTTTGAACTGTATTGATTTTTAATCCAATTACTGCATCTGGAATGTAAGCTGCTTAGTGCTGCTTGTGACTGGGGAGGCACAGAAGCCTCAAGTAAAGAAAAAGTATCCATGCTGTTGATATTTTCCCATTACCTTTGTTAGTGTGTCATACTATGTCAAGATTCTGGCATGATAAGAAGCCTGAATGCACCAAGGTTTCATGCACTCCTTCCCTGCCCTGAATGCAGCCATTAGGAAAACAAACTTTCTGCTCCGTTTTAGTTTTTCATTATATTTGTATTATATTTGAATATAAAATGTGGCTAATTTCAATGTTGCTTTGTTGAAACAAATTTCAAAATTGAAAGTGAGAATGTAGCTTGTCTGAAACAAGCCACTGTTACAACTACCCACAGTTTTTTGAGTTCTAAAAGCACAAATTGCAATTAATTAAAAAAAGAGAGAAATGAAAATATAATGTTGGAGGAGGTAGGGAGTGACCGAGATTAAGTCTCTCAGGTCAGCTCCTACCATAAGCCAAATTTCTGTTAAGAATTGTTTCCCAGTGGGAGTGAGTTGTTGGTATTATGTATGAGAAAGAGTCTTTCTTACAAATTTTGTTAAATCTTTAATTTTAGTCAATACATTTGTGGGAGACACAATCAAAACACAGTAAAATCCATATAAAACAAATAAAAAACCATGCAAACTAAGATAGCAATCAGCTAAAAGCAGCAAAAACTAAAATAAACCTCCTAAAAACATCTACAACTTTAGGGAGATAAAACTACTGAACAAAACATTGCATTGGGACAAAAGTATACAGTGGAGTTCAAGGTCTTAGAGAATTTTCTTAAAAAAAAAAGCCTTTGCTTGGTGCCAAGAAGAGGTCCTAAGTACCCATCTCAGCATGCAAGAACTTAAGGGTTAGTGTGGTGTGTGGACCTAGTGAATTATGGCTTGTTTAAAAAGTTAATCAAGGCTTAGCATGATCTATGAGATCAACCTTTGTTGGTTCTGCTGCAACAGACCAACATACCTAATCTTATTAATTCAGGAATAATTCCCAAATGAAGGCCTTGCCTTCCTGGTTATTAACCTCCAGATATGTTGGGAATGCAACTCTCAGAATTCCTTAGGTCGGTGTTTCTCAACCTCAACAACTTTAAGAATTCCCCAATGCCGGGGAATTCTGGGAGTCGAAGTCCTCACATCTTAAAGTTGCTGAGGTTGAGAAACACTGCCTTAGGTAACAGGACCGTTGCTAAGAATTCTAGGAGTTGAAGACCCAACACATTTAGAAAATGCAAGGTTGGGGAAGACTGTTTTAAAGGAGGGCTCAGCCTACCTAAGCATTATTATAAAGGCGTCCATATTGAATCTTTCACCTGTGTTACTTTAACAAATCAGTAGAAATACTTTTAAAAAAATAAGATTTCAGCTTATTTTTATTTACATTAAAAAGATGGCGTGCATATGTGTCTGAGTAGGTCTGCATGTGCATTCTTTCTCTCCATCTCTTACTACCACCTACTGCCAACAAGATCACAGCAGGTTGCATAATGCCTTACTTTTATTCTCCAGGACTGATGCCTTATCCCCTAAGATGTGATATGGTGTAAGTTATTAGGTTAAATTTTTGAACTGGAGGGTCACTCATTTTGGTGAAGAATAGGCCAGGAAGGAGATCATTTTCTCATCTGTGGGAGCCTGTTAAAAATCTATACCTTTCCAGGCAAGGCAGAGATAAGGAGTCCTTGGGGCTCTCTGAGCTTGGTGGTTTGCTTGCAGATGTTTCATTACCCAACTAGGGAACATCATCAGTGCAGATGATCAAGTTATCTTAGTTATCAAGGCAGAAATAACTAAGCCTCCTGATCCTGTTCAATTCTAACTCCCATGTGTCCCAGCCAATGGTGAGGGATAACTGGAATTGCAGTCCAACATTTGGAGGGCCACATGTTGCTCACTCCTCTATGTTTATGTGTGTACATACAAATTGTAATCACAGGAGTTTTGAGGGCTGGACTGAGAACAGAGAGTGGAAACGTATGGGCTGGGAGGTATACTGAGCCAGCAAGGACCTCTCTGAGGGTCAGATATGGGGTGGAGGTTTGCTCCACCCAAAAACATCCCTGTTGCTTCCAGAAAAAAGCAACACTCTCTTCCCCAGTAGGAAACAAACCCAGCAGTACCATTTCCAAAGACCCTACTGCTTGAAGATTAAGCAGCAGCACCTGTAACAATGTGCAGATAGCACCATAGTCAGTCTGTAACAGAAAACCTACATTTGGCAAATGGCCCTAAGACAAGTTGAAGGTGCAGTCTTTCTCCCGTGTAAGCTATTTTTTGCCTTCATGGAAATGTGGGCACCAAAGTCTGCCAATTTGTCCTTCTGGGATAATCTACGTATGACTGTTTGGTGGAAGAAAGAGAAGAGGAGGACATCCAGCAGCAAGGTGGATGGACTCAGTTATTGTGGTGATAGGGGCATTGTAGGAAGATCTGAATGGCCAGGTTGGGGACAGTTCATCCTGGAGAAAAGCTATCTATGTGGTCACTAAGAGTCTACATTGATTTGATATCACATCAATGTAATCAATCACGTGTGAACGGTTAGTTTAAAAAGGGGTGTTTATTTAACTTCTTCAAATGTGGCTTAACCCATTCACCAGCAGGACATAAAAACACCAAAAGGGTGGTGAAAATACTTAAAATGCAATGCAGTTTAGGACTTGTTCTTTATGTCTGAATCTATGCCGCTACAGCCACATCTATGGGCAAGCACACACTTCATTTTTTAAAAATTATTCAAATTACCATCACCAAAGCAAAAAACAAAACACCCAGCCAAGTCAGTTTCACAAATGCTGCAGAAGCAAATCAACAGATCAGTCTTTCAGAGAGATGTAAATTGTGACAAGTAGGACATTTCAAGCACATTCCTTGACTCTCTCCTGAAAAGTGGTACAAGTATCACCTTTTCCAGAAGGTCATTTGTGAAACTGACGGTACCCCAGACCAAGGAATGGGCACAGCAAAACTTGACTTACAGACGGGTTGCAAGCTTTTCCATAAGCTGGTGAAAGGGTTAAAAGTGATTAAAAAAACAACACCACAATTCAAAATCAACTTGTCTCTGCCTCCTGAACAGTAAAATGAAATACTGGACCGGGTCCAACTTTGCTGCAAAACTTTTGAACTCATTGAGTTAAGTCTGTAGCTGTCCAACAAACCCATCATTTTAATATGTTAAAATGTTAGCATGTTAACATTACTCACAGCAAAAAAAAAAAAGTACTTTAAATGGTTGAGTCGAGGATACTGTTTTACTATTTTCAAGAATATTGTTTCTTGACTCCTGCCACCCTTTTATAATTATGTTGAAATCAAACACGGAAGCAATCTTTATGCTTATCCAGGGAGTGGGTGGGGGGGTCCTCACTTTTTTATAGTATTTTTTCTCCCTCCAAGACCCAGAGAAGGGATAAGAGGGTTCATGCCCCTTTCAGCCCCTAGCAGAGGCTTCAAATCCTATTTTAGCCCTAATTTTGGGGGGTGAAAGTAAGAAGATAAATGTGCTTCTGAATGTTGATGGTGCAAGCTTATGGTGACTCTGGGGACTGCATTCCTGTGCTACACACTGGTCAGATGGTACAAACCAAAAGGTTTTTGAATCTCCCATCTGCCTGTCTGTCTGCTAAGCAGTCTTGATTTCTGCAATTTCATTCTACATCCCCATATGATTTACTTTCTACAATATCTGGCTGTGAAACCAAGATTAAAAATGCCACTCTCCCAAACTCATTTCTTGCAGTTACATAAATAACAATAAATGGAGATGGGTTTGGTGTTTCTCCATAGCTTGCAACAATAAAAAAAAAAAGAAAGAATGCTTTCAGCTGCTTATAGTTTTGGAAACTATTTAAGCCACAGGATGTATTCTGCTGT